CAACAACAACAACAACAACAACAACAACAACAACGAGCGTCTCACCGTTCTGCTATTTGCATCCTGACACCGTGTTCTTATCTTGTGTGTGCGTTTGTGTCTTTATTATTTGCATCGACCGCGCTAGCGGGCTGGCTGACCAATGAAAAGACGTCGGTTTCAGTGCGGCACTGATCTGGGACCCCGTGAAGGGGCGTCATGGGGGAGGCTAAAGTGCTCCCCGGATTTAATGGGTTCGTGTGTTTCTGTTTGTTTCCCTTTCGCGGCAGGTTCATTTCTTGCACCAAGAAGAGTTGCTGGAGTGCCTCCGGCAGGCTATGGAACAGAAGCTGGCGGGCGCGAACCAGTCCAGAACCTTCTACAGTCAGGTACCATAGGCACCTTGGGTGCGGGATGACTTTTCGACTGACGATGCGCCAATAGCTTAGGCTGTATTTCACGCCTCTTTTCCGGCGAAAGTATTGGTGAAGGTGGTGGTGATGACGGTGTGGTACTGCTGACGTCGTCGCTGGTGCTGACGTATATCGAGGAGGTTGTCGAATACAGCCCTTCGGCGCCGAAGGCCGCACCCTCCGGGTCAGTTGATATCCACTACCTTCACAAAACACGCTCGTGCAACGCTCTACCCTGCGATCATCTGCCTCTGTAGACACTGAAGGTCATCCTTCCAGACATGGACTTCGGCACGCCTGAAACCACCACAACGACGGCCGCAGCCGGGACCAGCAGCAAGAATCCCGGGGACAGAGGGGATGCATCCCCGGATACCGAAGGCCCCACTCCGCCTGAAGGCAGCGGCGGCGGCGGTGGCGCCTCCGCTAGTCAGCGGTTATCGTCCCGCCGCTCCCCGCCCGCCCCCCGCAATGTCGGCCTCGAGGCCATGGTAGAAAGCGACGAAGGTGACGAGGAGGAGGCAGGGGGCGACGCTGGATCATCTTCCGGGGAGGGNGACAACGTGGGCCAGGAGGAGGAGGAGGGGAAATGTTCCGCCTCGGTGGCGACTAGCGGGGATCGATCACAAGAAAAGCCGAGTGCTGGCAACGGTACCGGCGGCGCGGTGGCAGCAGAGGCGGAACGCCCGGACGAGGAAAAAACGCCGCAGACGAAGCCTAGTAGCAACAACAAACAGAACAAGATGAAACCGTCGAAAAGGAAGAAGCAGGCCAAGCCGTTCGCGGGCATAAGCAAGCTCGGCGGCCCACACCAGAACTGCAACTGCTGCGGAGGCAGGGCCCCGCGAGGCCCCGACGGGTCCATTGTTTTGACGCAGGGAGCGGGTGCGACTGGCGGCAGTAGCAGCAGCAGCGGCACCCCCGGGGATGGTATCGATGGCGTCCCCTACCGAGGAACCCCTTCTTCTCAGGACAGCAGTAGCAGCAGCCAGGCGGCGGCGGTGAGAGCGCAGCAGCAGCACAGGCGGCCGGACACCTTCGTTGAGACCAGCGTCAAGTACAACAGCGTCCGCTCGCTTATCGCAGACTTCAAGACGCAGGCGAGTGAGACAGGGCTGAAACCTGAAGGGCGAGGTGGGGGGAGTCGTGGAGATTTTCGGTTGTGCGTGGAGGCATGCTCATGGTTGTGCGTTTTTTTTTTTTTGGGGGGGGGATGACACACACGCACACATGGTGGGTTGTTAGATACAGCGTTTTGTTTCTGGCGAAATGTTTGGGGGAGTCAAACGGCGGTACTTGTAGCGGCGGGAAGTTGAGCGATGAGAGAGCTAGAGAGAAGAGACTATCAAACTGTTGCGAGGTTCACACCCGTAGCAATCCCTCAAGACCCTGATGAAGATTAACCTCGTGCAACAGCAGTGCTTGCTGTTTGTTGCCTCGCTCTCTTTGGTAGCAGCGGTACCTCTAGAGAGGGGCTACGTTACGGCTCATCCCCTGCTATAATTCTATCCCAGGGAGTTGCAATTTCCGCCACAACAATATATCTTACCAAAAACTACCGTTCAAATCCTTGAACTCAAATCCCACAATGACAGCGCTCTGGTGTGCTTCTTGCAGCGGCTACACCAGTCGGCTGCTGTTCTTTCTCAAATGAAGGGACTGCTGCTGTGCAACACTCACACGGCTGCCGTGACACCAACGTCAAGACATGGCTCTAGTTGTTTTGTGTGTTTCAGAACCTCGTCCGCTACCGTCGGCCGCGCTATCTACCCACTGTGTACACCCGTTCCTCTTTGCGGAGAAGGCTGCAATCCGGGGTCACATGTGAAACATCAAAGCCGTCAACGATACCTCCCGTTTTTTGTTTGTGCCTTCAGGCGCACAAGGGACTGACGCAGATGCTCAGGAAGTACTCCTTCGTGGGCATGGTCGACTTGCACCTCTCGCTGCTCCAGTTCAACACCAAGCTCGTGCTCGTCAACCACACGGCGCTCAGGTAGGCTGCCGTTGTTGTTGTTGTTGTTGTTGTTGTTGTTGAGGCAATGGTGCGTGCTGCTTCTTTTAAGTGGAACACAGCACACCAGAGCTTCGTTCGTAGCTTTTGCTGCCGACCGCTTTAATTTTGGTCACTCAAGTTCTCCCGTAATGGGTTCATAGCTAATTTTCCGTCCCCGCCCCAAGAGGCCTCCGGCGACAAAACGTCAGGACACCACTACTACTCGAGACCAAAGCTACAGCACAAAAAAAAATGATGTGTCCCCTCGAGAGAGGAAACGCCTATGACATGGTAGCTGGCGTTGCTTGTGTGGCTTTCTTCGTGCTCGGTGGTGTAGAGCTGGCGTACAGTGGGCGAAAACACGACGCCTTCCCGCCCCCCTTGCCCGTACCGTAAGCATGCGACGCGGCACGTTCGGCACACAGTAGCTGTGCATGATAAGTAGCAAACAAGGAACAAACTGCACCCCCCCCGGGTCTTTCTTCGTCCTCTCGAGGGCACATGGCCAATGGTCTAACCGCTAAGGCATGCGAAACGTGGGTACCCCCCTCTCCCCCCCACGGTTATGCCACGTCTTTTTCAGCAAGGAGGCGTTTTTCCAGATGACTCTCCGGAGATTCGGCGCCATGCCTCGGCTGCCCCTGGCGACTCCGTTGCCGGTGCTCCCTCTCATCCGCGCCGCTTTCGACCTGCCCGAGGCGGCGTGGACGGCCATAGACGGTGATAAGGACGACCTCGCGCAGGTGTGTTGTTGTACATAATAGAGGATGCGCCATACAGGAATGCTTGCTGACTCTCTTCTTTATTTTGTTTGTGGGGTTGCACAACAACATCGACTGCTGTGTTCCTGTTCCTTGTGTTTGATCTCCTTCCTTCTCTTCTTTCTCTCTCTTTCTCTCTCTGTCTCTATCTCTCTCTCTCCTTCTTACTCTCCTTCTCTTCCTCTCTTTACCCCTCTCTCTCTCCCTCCCTCTCTCTCCCTCTCTCTGTGTCTCTCTCTCTGTGTCCCTCTGTCTCTCTCATGTGTCGCTTGACGTCGTCGGCGCAATACCAGGACGCAGTCAAGCTTCTCGAAGAAAAGGCTGCGCTTTTGGACGAGTACTTCATGATCAGCCTCCCCCGACGAAGCGTCGCCGCCACCGCCAACGACGATGACTCCGTTGAGGGCAAGGGCGGGGAGGAGAGGGGGGCAAACGACACCGCTGGTGCTGCTGCTGCACAAGACGTTGGAGAGGAGGCGCAGGCCCTTTGCATCTCGTCGCTACCCCTGCTGCTCGAGGGGCACACACCGGTGGGGGAAGGGCTGCCGATGTTCCTCCTCCGCCTTGCGATAGAGGTAAGGCGCTCGCTGGTACTCTCACTCCTGTTGTTGCTCGTGGACAAATGGGATGTGTCGGCTCAGTAGAAAGAGGCTGCTGGTGATGCTGCTCGAAGTGTTGTCAGTTGTTGGGTTCAAGCTGGTCTGCTTTGTACGGTGAAACGATTTCTTCCCAGTTTATAAACGGATGAAGCTTGTGGCGTTTCTTCGCTGCGTGTTGCATCGAGAGGTCCATGGGGAGCGGAAATCTTCACCATCAGAAACTCTTCACCATCATAGCGAGATTGGTGAGTGGATACGGCGGCTTGATTTGGAAGCACCCCCCCCGACTCCGGATCTGATGGCGATAGGATAGACAGGATAGAGAAATATTTTTTGAGCCAACTATGGCGAAGGAGGAAGGACCGATCAATCATGGGTGAT